ACACCACATCGAAGTGCCCTTCAACGATTTTCTAAACATACCTTGGACGTGGCATAAGGCCGAATGTGTGGGGCACACAGTAAAGATCGAACTCACTACTCAATCGTAATTGATCTGGCGAGACAAGCTTGCTAAACATTACACGACGTTGAACAGTCTAATACATGCAAGTAATGACGCTTCCCAAAATGTTCATTTTTCTTCTTTTTAAGATAGAAATAAGCTAATACCAGAAAGAAACCAGCATGCGGGGCGTAGATAAATTATCAACTGACGTGGGTAAGTAAATGTCTACTTTAGAATTGATAATTGTCGTCTGTTCATCTCTTTCTTTCATTAACACTGACAAACTGCAACATCCGCACACTCTCACTCAGTCAGTCTACTAATGACGTTTTCCAAAAATCTTGTTCACCATTTTATTTTATTTTTTAAAGATAGATGAAAACTAACTCCGGAAAGAAACTAACACGTAGGCAGCTTTATTAATAATATTTCGATGTCTTTCCGCATCATGCTCAGAATATTATTAATGGACGCAAACTTTTGCTGCTATTTTATAAGAGAAATCGTAGACGTAAAGTAAAATAAACAAGATAAATAACATGAACAAATATCGAACTCGCTACTAAATGGCAATTGATTTAACGAGACAAGCTTGCTAACCATTACACCATATCGAAGTTCCCTGCATGGATAATCTAAGCGTAGATTAGATGTGGCACAAGGCTGAATGTATGGCGTACCCAGTGAGGATCGAACTCACTACTCAATAGTTATTGATCTTGCGAGACAAGCTTGCTAAACACTACACAATGTCGAATTTCCCTACATGGATAATCTAAGCGTAGATTAGATGTGGCACAAGGCTGAATGTATGGCGTACCCAGTGAGGATCGAACTCACTACTCAATAGTTATTGATCTTGCGAGACAAGCTTACTAAACACTACACCATGTCGAATTTCCCTACAATGATATTCTAAAGTAAAATAGACGAATGTTTAAACTTGTATCCGTCTTTTCAAGCGGGGTGGTAGCACCTGTTAGGGTACCAGCTATGGGCAAATAGTTAACTATTACAAGCAATACTTTTTTGAAAAAAATTATTACCAGCAATACAATTTTGAAAGAAAAAATATTACCAGAAACAGATTTTTGACAAAGCAAAATATTACCGGCAATAAAAAATGTTGTCAGCATTAAATAACCTACTGAGGTTGATATGCTGTAAAATAAAATAAACCAAACAAAACCGTCTTTTCAAATGTTCGTTTTACGTTAGTTTGCTAAGAAATATATTGATATTTGTTCAGATATACATACAGTACCAGAAATGAAGTACATCAAAGAAACAGTTACTATTAATTTATGTACGAAAAAGATTTTAGCGTTCATAGTCTTTTATGAACTTCTTCTGTTTGGTTGGATCGATGTCAGAGGTCGACTTTGGTCGTCTGATTGACCGCTGACTCTCGTGATTTTTCTGTCATACAACCCCGACCCCAATGTATTAGATTGAGGCATAAATAATTTCCGTTTTTGATTATCGATTTATTATTAAAAAAATGTACAATTACATTTTATTCAATTCTATATACACCATTTTTTGCAATGTTTATGTTGTCACTTATCAGGAAGTTTTTCAATTCCTTTCGAGTAGACTTCAGCATGCCTTGATGCGGAAAAGCTTTCGATAAAATCTTGAATCTGATTTTCATTAGAAAAGGTTTTTCCCCAACAAAGCGAAAATGATAATAATCAGTTGTTAACTTAAATCTACTTTCGGATAACGGAGAAAACCTGTCTAGGGACGCATAAATCAATTATCTCCCTTTTTACAGGATACATTTATTAATGTTCAAAGAGGACCTAGGGGTATCATGTGTCAGCCCTTTGGTGAGGGTGGTTTAGTTTCTCTTTAGACCTCGATGGAGATAGATGTGATAGAATGCGGTGATCTAGTGCCCCTGCTATATATTTAGAGAGTTTTGATAATATCTAAAGAAGAATCTGTAATGTTATTGGTGCTGATCTGTCATCTCAGCTTCAGTCATTTTCCTAACATCGTTACGTAGCTTCCCTGTTACTTTTCTATAAAGACTTTTATGGTAATTGTCCTGATAAACTTTCTTCTATGGTAACTAGATTATATGGATTTAAGCGCAGGTATTGGATTGGCAGATAGGTCTCATCGTTTTACAGTTGAAATGGCGAAATGTAACAGTAAGTTCGATACTAACGGTTTCTTCTATCGCACTTCTCGCTTGTGCAATTCTCTTACGGTTTCTTGTTTCCTAGTCAACTTTGATCTTCGAAATGTAAATGCAAGGTTAAACGTGTTACAGTTTTTTGTGTATATGTATGTATATATATAACTAGTGAGTTAGTCCAAATGCCTTCACTCGCTTTATAGTCTACCAATAGAAGGTTAACCAATCAGAAGACGCAGAACATTCTATCCGTCGTGTATAAAGGCGGCCATTTTTGTTTATCCTACCCGAATGACCAGTGCCAAGGCGAAGATGAACAGAAGGAAGTACTACGCTCTGCTACTTTGCTGCGATATCCACTGCTAACCTGAACTACACTTTCCTACTGTCTCCGAAATATTCACTGCTAACCTCTGGATTCTATACTCGAAGACGACCGTCATGAAAATGTCTAACAAAACGTTATCTTCTGTCTTTTTAATTCCTCTTCTTTTATTGTTCTCTTTAAAACGTTGCCCCCTACATGACCCACCAGAGGGTTGTGGTAGTATATCTGCAAGACCAACACGGCTCTCCGGTGGGTCGTTTTCCAATTTCTTTTCTAGGAGGATTATTTGGAGTGGGATGCTATGATTGATTGCTTATGAGATCATGGTACATCAGAACCACGTTTTTTTTACGAAAAATATTTAAATATTTCTTTATATAGAAAATGAGAGTTAGTGTCAATATAATTCTTGTATACTACAAAGTAAATAAGGCCTGAGGGCCAACGTGTTAATAACTTAAGGATAGACCACTGTTGGTTACTGTTTAAGTAGAGGGTCTGCCTTTTTGGCGTCTTTTTTGTTCTGAGTTTCTTTATTTTCACATTCTTGTATTTTTTTTTCTTATTTCTGTTGTTAGTAAATATTCTTTTCTCTTTTTTTTCTTTTTTAAGTTTTATGTTGGTCACTTGGCTGACATTCTGTTTGCTACGCCAACACTTTTATATATATATATATATATATATGCCTGATTGAATAAATTACAGACGTTATGTATGCATATTTTGATGATAATCCGTATACATTCACGAATACTTTGCCGTATATTACAATTATCACGAAAAAATATGTAAGGATTTTGATCAAAATATGCAGACATAACGTTTGTAACATATTCAATCACACATGCCTAAAAGAAAATGTGTTGCCTAATACACAAATATATATATATATATATATATACACACACACACATACATATATATATGTGTTTGTGTGTGTGTCTATATATATATATATATATATATATATATATATATATATAAACAAATAAAAACATCACTTAGCATCCTACATAGATTACTTTTGCTTTTATTTTTTTTGGTTATTTTTTAAATTTTTACGCACACATAGATGTACCATGCATTCATATGGGTTGCGAGAGATTCTTGGTTGTAAAATGGACTCAGGTACCGAACGATACACCGATGGATTGTGGGTAAATACTACCTATGATATCCTTGCCTCATATATGAAACAATGTCAAAACGTAAAGTCGCTTGTACCAGAATTAATTAAGATATAATTTTGGGACCGTGGGACAACAAATGAAGCTAGGGAGCCAATGTGTTAATAGCGTTTTTTTTTTTTGTTGTTTTTTTTCTCTCATATTTTCTAACACTCAGGAATCTCTTGTGTCTTAGTGGCTTTATTGTCTTGCTTGGGGTGAAATGATTTTTTAAAAATCGCTATTACCTGTATCTCTAAATCAAATCTCACCTTTTACAAGGTAAATTCACTGAATATTCCACCGAGAATAATTTTAATCTACAAGTCTCTGCACGATTTACTGAAACCAAGGTCACTGAAATTTTCACGACAGCCGCAGATCGTTTTGTTTCGTTGGACGCGCATGCGCGCATGTATAATGAGCATGGGCCACAAAAAAAAAAAACGTTATAATGACCAGAATGTAAGTAGCTTGTCTTTCGTTTTGTGCTCCATGAATCATTATTGGTTTCTGGCTGTAAAAATTCGTGACCTCTCATTGCCGTTCGCTTTTTCTTGGGCTACTTCTGTTCTCGTCTTCTACCTCCCCTCTCTCTCTCTCTGTCTGTCTGTCTATATATATATATATATATATATATATATATATATATATATATATATATATATATATATGAGGGAGATAATGGGTTAACACTCGTGACGGGCTCACAATAGCTAAAATCGCAAACACTGATGACACATGTGAAGAGTGCAGATATCGTGTTTAAGTCTATAATGTTATTACCTACGACAAGTATTTCTTTACCCCAGTATTTTTCTTTTCCCTCTTTTTTGCGGGGGTGGGGGCTAGAACGTAGTAAATCGTCCTTGGTTATGAAACGCTAAAAGCTATTCAATTGCCCTGACAACAGCTTAAATATTGCCTGCTTCAATTTCAGTCATACTACTTCATGGAGGTGTCAACTGGCAGAACGCTTGTCCACGGGGGAAAAAGATATCGGTGAAGCAAAAAAGTAATGCATCTTCAACACTTTGACGTGGCGATCATGGCTCTCCACAATTTCTTTTCTTTCGCTCTTAATAAATATTGTCTTCTTATCTCTCCGAAACCCTGTTCTGCAATCCATTTACACAAGCTCATTCATTTTCTTTTTCTATATGCCGCGTCTCTTCAGGACATGGGCGATCGTGGCTCTCCACAATCTCCTGTCTTTTCCTAAACCTTGTTCCGCCATTCATTTTCTCCAACTCACTAGGTAAGTTTTGCGTTGTTCTACTCTACTTTCAAGGTTTACGACCACATCAAGTTGAAACACTAGTTCTCGTATGATCTCCGAAGTTAAGTAACGTCGTGCTTGGTCAGTTCCTAGATTGGTAACCGCTTTGAAATACCAGGTATTGTAAGCTTGGATCTGCAGGTGGTGTAATGGATAACTCAGGCAGAGTTCAAATTGGTTCGTTATATTCACTTACGCGAAATTACCCTTTGGAAAAGGAATGAATCTACCTCTTCTCCCTTTCTATGGGTTAATTAGTAAAACTTGTATCACTACAACCGTTAATATCGCCAAAAAATAAATATAATTGCGTAAAAAATATTTAGATCTCGGCATTAAATAACCCATAGAGGTGTTGATATGCCGCTAAAAAAAAAAAACAACCAATTTTGTTTTCAATCTGTCTTATGACTATTAGATATTCCAAGCTAGCCTTAGCCTTACACAGTCTCAAAATAACTTGATAAAGATCTTGCTACTGTTATGTCACGATGTGTTTCAGATCGTGGAAATTTCCCAAAATTTTCTTTTATGTGACGTCCTTCTTCAAAACCAGGGGATCATGGCTCTCCACATCTTCATATCCTTCATAGCTCTAAGTGATGTTCGTCTCCTTGATCTCTCTCCTAGTCCCTGTTCTGCTATCTATTTACAAAACATCGTTAGGTAGTTTACTCAATGTTTGTCTTTCCCTCTTGACTTCAATTTGTCCTGTGAGTGTCAATTTCTCCAACCCCTCTTTCCTCATTATATGTCCCAGAATACATACCCTTAATTATCTCGGACTATTTGTGGATATACATATCTATTGAAATAATAGACAAAGAACAACACTGTAAAATACGAAAACTTAAAGAATCAGCATATATGCTAGGCCGCAAAATCTCCTAAGCCGACCAAGCATAGAAATGAATACAATATGGAGCCAGTAATAAGGAGTGCCAGAGAAAAGCAATAATAACAAAGAAAATTGCAATATGATATCTGATAAAAATGAGTACTGAGACACTAAATTTATAAGTCTCCAAAAATCATTCACTGATGTCCTGATGGCTCAGTGGAAAAAAAGTGTTTGTTGGATCCAGTTACTTGATCCAAAGAGTTGTGATTTCAATACGTGGAACTAAAACATAAAGGGTTCAGTTCGAAATTCCAGTCACCTGAAGAAGATCGAAACGTCGTGAATAAAGCAACAATGATGAGGACAACAATGAGCAATGTAAATAATGAACAATGTAAATAATGTAAATATATCCTCACATTGGAAAGTATTTATCTAAATCGGGAATCATAAAAAATCATGCACGCAAATTACCCATAAATAATTTTTGTACATTATTTGGTCCGAATATTTGTCACCATATTTATCACAACTTTTCGGCCGTTGTACGCTCCGGCCTTCTTCAGGTGGTTGGAATGTCGAACTGAATCCCTTTATTTCGTTAAGGAACTTGCAGAGGGGAAATAACAGGAGATAACCGATAACTGGCATCCATTAAAACATGGCACGTGGAACTAGAACAGTGAGCGAAATAAAGGGGTCAGTTCGACATTCCAACCACCTGAAGAAGGCCGGAACGTACAACGGCCGAAACGTTGTAATAAATATGGCGACAAAGATGAAGACAATAGTCTGAATAATGTACATAATGCCTCATCTCAGAAATATAGACATATATAGATTGAATATTTTCACTTTTTTAAAATGCTTGAATGATGACAATATATAATATCACGTGAAATTTAATAATTAATTTAATAAAATTTAATAATTAAACTAATAAGCGCATAAAAATATCAAAAAGCTACATAGAAAGATCCTCAAGAAAAAAACAATATATATATATATATATTTAAACACAACCTTATCCCTACCTTCCATTTCTAATTTAGTTCATTCTATAGCCCTCCCCCTCCCACTCCCTCTGTCACCTTATATAAATCTAAAACTATCCCCCAAAAACTTTTATTAAAGATAAAAGAAGCCAAATTCCTTTGTAACTAGAGATGTGACCTGATGAACCAGGAGAATATATTTTCTGGGGAAATAAATTATAGTCATGGAAACTTAAGGTTGTCTCTTTCTGGATTATTTAATTAATCTATATATATATCGCTTTTATCCACTGTGCCATGTGTGCTCGAGGACACATGGCACAGTGGATAAAGGCGTTGGTTAGATCCAGTGACAGGAGTTCAATATCCGCTTAAGGCAGAGAACTTTCAGAGGGGAATTAACAGAAGATAACAGATAACTGACATCCATTAAAACATGGCACGTGGAACTAGAACAGTGAGCGAAATAAAGGGGTCAGTTCGACATTCTAACCACCTGAAGAAGGCCGGAACGTACAACGGCCGAAACGTTGTAATAAATATGGCGACAAAGATGAAGGCAATAGTCTGAATAATGTACATAATACCTCATCTCAGAAATATAGACATATATAGATTTTAAGATATTTTTTATGTTTATACGTTCTATATATACGTATAAACTTAAAAAATGTCTTAAATAATTGTCGGACTTTGTCCATTTCATAAATATATATATATATATATATGTGTGTGTGTGTGTGTGTGTGTGTGTGTGTGTGTGATGTTATACGATATAAGGCATGTTATTTATGAACCGAAAGGCTCAATATCAGGGATAGACCGTATGTAAATATAAAAGTGGACATTGAGGTCTCCACTAACAGCGACAGTTTTTTTTTACGCTTGAAAGAAATCTTCAGGCCATGTGGTTTGTGTTTTGTCTCGACTACTTATATATACTGGTCAATGGTGCATTATGGCTAGGTCTGTTGTATTATTCTAATAGTTATCAGGTTGACGCTAATGTTTTTGCTTCAAATTCTTCTGGGGACTATTGAGTAGAAATGCATGGCAATTTCCATGAAAATCAACCAAAAATAAAATTTAAAACAATATTAAAAACTTGTCGGGTGATTGATTGATTTGTTTAACGGTACATCAACTTCTTATGGATCATTTAATGTCTTTTCATTCTCTTTCACACCTAGTAGCCCCTTACGTCTTAGTGGCATTATTACCTTGCTTGGAGTGAATTGATTAAAATAAAACAACTGAATTGCAAAACCCCCACATGAAGTGCGTTTCAGAAATACTCTAACCAATTATGGATTCTCTGGAATGGCTCTCGCTATGATCAAGTCCTTCTGAAAAGGTAGACCTCCCCACTGAAAAACATTGTTAACCGCAAGTCATCGTAAGCTCGACGTTCCAAGAAACAATGGTTTTGTCGAAAGAATAATGAATTGGCTTCTTTTTATAGGGTATGCTAAAAGAGAAGGTTTACTCAATGAGACACGCTTGATTGAACGCATAAAAAGTGCATGTGCTAAAACTGACGGCAATGTGGAGTTATTGCAACGAGTGAACGTGAATCTTGCAAAGTGCATCAGCCTTTGCATCACAAATGATGGAAATCATATTGAAGATGTTATTAGTAAATATTCCACTTGTATAAAATTTTGTTGAACATTTCATATATATATATATATATATATATATATATATATATATATATATATAAGCAGCTTTTATTAAATTCTACAGACAAGGCCTGTCTCTTCAACTTTTTATGATATCCTTTCAATTTCCGAATGAGGTTTATTCATCGTGATTGAAATTAATATAAATTGTCCAAAGTTCTTTTTTTTTCTGTTATATTCAAGTAAATTCGACTATCATAATCATTGTCAAAAACAGTTATGGTAAGAAATACGTTTTTTTACTAATTTTGTCGTTTTTAGATCGCTAGAATTGAAATTGAAATCAGTAAAATCTGACGCCATATTTAACGGCTAAACGAAAATGCATTTACCAAATATGTATATAAGTCCCCAAAATTCTTACACAAATGTCCTCAAGGGTACATGGCCCAGTGGATAAAAATGTTGGCTAGATCTCATTAACTGTATTTTTTACCTCCACAGATTAAACATGGTTTTGTCGTAAATAGAAAAACTTTTTCTGGGGTATGCTAAAGAAGATATACTCAATGAAAATCATAAGTGTAACACATTTGATTGAACTTAGAGTGCATGCGCTAAAATTGACGACAATGTGGAGTTATTGCATCGAGTTAAAGTGAATTTTGCAAAGCGCATCAATCTTTGCATCACAAATGATGGAAATCATATTGAAGATGTTACTTGTTAATATTCCAATTCAACAAAATCTCATTTCTTGAAAATATGAATTTTTGTCTATGTGTCCAGGCTTTAGGGACACCCTGTATATTAATCACCTGTCGGTGAGTATCTATCTATACGTCGGTGAGTATCTACCTTGCCGTATAAAATATTTAGTAATTATGTTTATTATTATATATGTCTTTCCTGCATAGCCCTATGAATCTCACTTCGTGCCTTTTCTCACATTCATACAAAACCAAACATTAACCCTCTACCTTAAGTGGTTCTTGGGCCACAAAACATAATCTTCTGAATAAACAAAGTGGTTTTTATTAAAACCAATCAAGACATTCTTTTCCCCCATAACTGCTGCACTCAATATATCAATTATACATAACAAAAAACATTCTCTCATTGACATTTGTATTAATTTAATATTTCTAACATTTGACATCCAATTTTATAACGCATTTATATCGTAAATTATTTTGGTTATATATATATATATATATATATATATATATATATATATATATATATATATATATATATATAATCATTTCGCTTATGGAACTCCCTTCCAACTCTGTTTCCAGCCAGCTTTGTTCTTCAAAAATTTAAATGCCATGTCAATCGTTATCTACTGTCCTCTTGATTACTCTTCTGTTTTTTCGCTCCTTAATAATGTTTCTCTTTTTTTCGTATTCCTTCACCTTCAGTAACCTTTCATGATATGATTTTAAAAAGGGTGATATTATTTGAAAAAGGGTGATATTATTTTGAAAAGAGACATTATTTTTAAAAAGGCGATATGATTTTGAAAAGAGACATGATTTTAAAAAGGGTGATATGATTTTAAAAAGGGTGATATGATTTTGAAAAGAGACATGATTTTAAAAAGGGTGATATGATTTTGAAAAGAGACATGATTTTAAAAAGGGTGATATGATTTTAAAAAGGGTGAT